GTGTGTGTGTGTGTGTTTCTGCCTCAGTGGGCAGTGTGTGATGCCTGCAGGAGAAGCAGCAGCAGTGGGCGTCTCCCGCTCTGACGTCCTGTAGTTGAAAGGTCTCAGGTGCGACTCCCACAGCAGTCAGAGTTGGCTTGCTGAAGTGCCCTCGAGCACGGCGGTCGCTCACTGTCAGAGAGGCTCTGGCACTGGTTGATGTTCCTCTCGGTTCAGACAGGAGTTTATTGTGTTTGTTTAACCTGTTAAAGCCAACCTGCCCGCCAGCGCCGAGCTACAGGTCATACAGGTGTTACTGGGTCACACTGCCTACCTGAACAGCGTGTGTGCGTGGCAGAACCTCTTTATTTACTTTACTTTATTTACATTACAGTTTAACAGATCGGTCACACTGCCGACCTTAAATACTTCTGATTGACATTTCTTTTCTCTTGTTTTTCTTCAATTCAAAAGTAACGGGGAAGTAATCTAGTTACTTTAATATTGTGATACTTGAATCTGTATCACATTACATTTTTAAAGTAACCCTCCCGACCCTGTGTGTAATTTAATATCATGTAATCAGATTCTTTGTAAGGTTGAAAATGTGTGTTTATATATTGTGTGTGTGTGTGTTGGGACGAGACAACAAGGGGTTCAAACGCAATCACCTGGCGGGGGATCGTTCAGCAGCATTTTCTGAGTACTGTTCAATGACGGATCAATGGTGCGCACAGCGGAGAGCCACTGAAGGAGGCGTCGGGTCGACCAACAGGTGATGTAATGAGGCGTTCAATAAGAGTTTATTGCAGCAAAAGTGTTTATTACTGCTGCCTTCAGTACCAGCAGAGGGGGTTTCCTAGCACACACACACACACACACACACTGATAATAACTCCGCCAAGTGGGCTGATTGAGTGTCGGATTACCGCTCGCTTGTTTTCATTGGATTACTCAACCGGCGTATCGGGGAAAAGCCTATTAGTAGCCATGGAAACAGAAAGCCAAGGTAATCAGAGCTCTAATTACAGGAGCAGGCGGACGCTGCAATCAGCAGAGTGAAGAGCAGCTTTTTTCTGCCTGTTACAGGAAACTAACAGACGTCAGCAGAGAAAGTTTCCAGTCATTCACCTTAAATATGTGTTCATTAAATCCGATGTCTGCTGTGTTTGTTTTAATTAAAATATCTGTAAAACGACATATGACTGAATGTCTAGGACAATGGGAAACTCCTGGTTGATTTGTTGACACCCGTGGTCACCGTGGTAATGTTGTAAGTGTGGTTTAAAGGTCTTGTGTGACAGGATGTAGTGGCATCTAGTGGCATGATTGCAGATCGCAACTCCCTCGCTTCAACCTCCCCTTCACGAAAGAGAAGCTACATTGACCGCGAATATATTCAATCTTCCTAAATGTTACACACTGTTCAACTTTGGTGTCCGGCAAAGTCGTTGCATTATGACCGGATTCAGGAAGTCCTAACAAGAAGAGAGACACACCACGGCAAACATTTAAACAAAGGAACTTTACTCCACAAATTAAGCCGAATTAAAGATGCCAACAAACTAATGAAATAAGCCAATTCATTCATAAAATTAGTAGTTTGTGTGTGTGTGTGTGTGTGTGAGGTTTTTCTGAATCTGCTGCTGAATCCGTTTACGGTGTTTTCATTCTGCGCACAACGAAAACAACAGTAAGAAAGTAAGTAAAGAAGTTGGTTAGCATGCTGAGGAGGCTGCTCCTCCTTCATGACTCCCTGCAGTGTTTAAAACTGATCTGCTGTTTAAAAATACTAAAAACGTACATCGCGTTTCCTGCGTCTGTTTCACTATAAAAGCCATCTCGTATTTTACTAACTGAGCGCTTTTAATGTGACATAGCAGCTTTATCAGTTTATCAGAGTTTAATGTAAACTCAATATCAGTTGGATGAAACTTCACAATGTGGCTCTGAATTACATACATGCTTCATTTCCTGGCTCTTGAATGGCAGACTCCGCCACTGACAATGACAGCTACTAGGCCTATTTCAAGAGGCAATTACAGAATGGACATACATGGATATTGCAGAAAAAGTAGACCATAGTAAATAGAAGCAGTTTTATAGGTAACAGGTGGGTGGGAAAGTTCTCACCGTTAAAAACAACAAATCTCTCACAACAAGTCACTGATGATCTTCCCGCCACATAGCACACACACGTCTTTCTCAACCACATCCTGCCCCCTTCTGAGTCTTCCTCAGTCTGTCTCTCGAGCCGCCATCACGCCTTGCTCGAGGGCACGTCAGCATCACTCACTCCAGCAATCACTCTGCTGAAGTTCCCGGTCTCGATTGTGAGTGGACGTCAGGTTGCGGTTCGTCGTCCCGGTCGCCCCTCGCAGACGCACTGATCGAATTTGGAAACGCCAGAGACAAGCTTTTAGTGCCACAGGCCGCCGACGGAGCGATAACGTGGAACGACGTGGAATCTGATCCTCTCGTTATCAGCACTCACTCAGTGAATGATGCACTGCAACGAATAACTCACAGAGCGATTCCATCTGCTCAGGCTCATCCAGCTGCTTTCAGGATATGTCAACATGTTCTGCTCTGAGCTGAAGAGCCGCGTGCTGAAGATTCATCCTGTGACAAAACATTACACATGCATATCAATCCCTTCCTGTTCTAAAAGTTTGTAAGAACTATGTTTATTATGCCTGATAATAGTTCTGATACACTCCTTCCAACACTCATTCAGATTAACAAAAAGATCTTACCTAACCTAAAGGAATGTCTATGGAACGTTGTGCCTTAACACTGACTTTCCCTTTGAATGTATGAACACTGAGTGTATCATCCACTGGATCTGTTTTTACAAGTATAAGCTGCACAAAGAAGCATGGTCACCAGGATTTATTGTAAGGGTTATACACTAAAAGTAGAGAAGTAATTGTCTGAAAATAACTACTCTGATGCCCCCAAACTCCCCTATCATTATATATATATATATATATTATATATTTTTGGGCTTAACCACGTTAAAGATATTGAGAGAATTTATTTAATGTATTTCCCACACTTCTAAATGAAAATGTCGCACATTTAAAACGTTTTTGATGACTACATTGACATTTGTCTTGACATTTTCTGTTGTTTATGAGAGACCAGCACCGTTGGCAGAAGCGCTGTGGACTGCTCTGGGCAGCATGCATGGGAATGAATTACTATAATTTATATTTCTTGTCTTTTCCCTGATGGTTTGAGTATCTGAGAAGTTGACCACACTGAATGTCCTGGGTGAAACCAAGTGTACAGCTGGGAGGGGGGAGACACATGTATGCTTTCTTGAACAAACAAGGAAAAAAAGGAAATAATAAGAGACAAAAGAGTTGACAGTGCTCAAAAATAAGAACATTGGGGACACGTCCCCCCAAAATAATGCACATTTACTCCTGAGCTGTACAGCAAGTCTGGTGACGTACAAGATGTGAATTAGAATAGGGTTGAAAACAGTTTTGTCCACTTTCTCACTGTAAGTAATGTTCAGAAATGAAATGTCAATATGATGTGAACGCTGCAATCTGCTATCATTATCACTCCATTACACACACACACACACACACGCACACAGGGAGGGTTGTTGTGGGGAAGCAGAAGCTCAACATCTGTCAGAGTCAGTAGTTATGCAAGACAACACGCCTCTAAACACACACACACACACACACACACACACACACAGAATACGTCTGCATGCTCACAAGCAAGAAAGTCTTTGTCACACACACACACACACACACACACACACACACACAGATGGAGCACTTTATGCTGCAGGTTATTGTGTGTGCCAACAAAGCAGACATGCCATGGCCCTGCGTGTGCGGCTTCTGTTTGTGGTTGTGATACCAGCGTGCCCCGGAACAAGGCACTGGTTTAACTACAGATGAATCCAGGAGGGTTCGCTTCCCTCGTTATCCTGCTTCCTTTTCATACCTCAGAGGTTATACTATAGTCCTTGTGTGTCAATTGGACTGGGATGTAAACACAGTGAATTCTTTATTATAACTTCTATTATTCTGATATTTTCTTTATTTAACTGTTTTTGTATCCATCAATCAGACTTTGTTTGTATAACACACACACACACACAAACAATGTGATACATGTTTTAGTGATCAATAAAACATGATCTTATCAAGTTGCAGTGAGGAAACACTGGAGGAAAAGAGGAAAACTAAATTAGATGTTAAATAAAACTGAATCAGTTGTACAAATAAATAAACAATAATAATAATTCAAACGTAAATCGAGAGACAAATAAATAAAAATAAAAGACTTAAAAAGGCAGGTTTTGAGTCAGCTTTCAAAACAAATAAATAAATCTATATAATCTATATATATAATAATGAGTGCTGCTTCTTCCATAACAATTATTAATGTTATAATGGACAATAAACACCGACTGATAATGTGTGTGTATATGTTAAATTATTGAACTTAATTAAAGAATAGCCTGTATGTAACTTGAATATTGTTTAATAGGGTTATTTGTGAAAGGAAGCAGCCTTCTAGGGACCTTTGCATAATCACATCAGTGCACAAGCCACATAGAAAAGGTCAATTTTCCCCTCTAAACTCAATAAGAAAACCAGAAACTGAAACCTGGAAACCTAGACACAATTTAGACTCTCTCTCTCTCTCTCTCTCTCTCTCTGTTTTCTGTCAATGCCTCCCCCCCTTAGTCTGCGTGGCCCGGTTTCAGTGCTGCGACATCGACACCGCAGTCGGTTTCGGTCAGATCTGGTGGAGAACGAGGAAGACCTGCTACCAGATCGTAGAGCACAGCTGGTTCGAGTCCTTCATCATCTTCATGATCCTCCTCAGCTCCGGAGCTCTGGTCAGACACACACACACACTTTATTTTACTTTATTTTACTTTATTATCTTTATGTAGTTTAATAATCTGCTGTATTTTACCATACTTAATTTATTTTACTTTACGATAGTTTACTCAGCTTTCATGTTACCACAGTTTAAATTATTTTAGTTTAATTTACCTAATTGCTTTACTTCACTGTAATTTACTTGATTTACTTTCCTTAGTTTACTTTACTTTAGGTTAATTTACTGTAGTTTGTTTTACTTAATTAATAATTTTACTCAACTGTACTTTAACATACTTTACTAAAGGTTACTTTTTACTTTGCTGCTAGTATTATATTATTTTATATATATTTACTGTACCGTACTTTTATTTTATTCTGCATATACATTTATTAAGTATTATGTTCTTTTTACTATATTTACAAATGTATCAGGATGTTTTTTTGCCTGAAACTCACAAAGAAACAAAGAAACAATAAAGATTATTACTACTATTGGAGATCTAAAGCGTATTTCTCTCGTTATCGGCTCTCTAACGTCCCTCTCTGCTGCCCCCTTCAGGCCTTCGAGGACATCTACATTGAGCAGAGGAAGGTGGTCAAGGTGGTGCTGGAGTACGCGGACAAGATCTTCACCTACATCTTCATCCTGGAGATGCTGCTCAAGTGGCTCGCCTACGGCTTTAAGAAGTACTTCACCAACTACTGGTGCTGGCTCGACTTCCTCATCGTTGACGTAAGTCAATTAATCGTAACTGATCGCTTATTTTGTATTATATTTGTATTTGTATTTAATTTGTATTTGGTCATATTGTTCTGGAAATGATTACAATGAAAAATGTGACCTGTCCCTTTAAGAAAATCTATATATATGAGTTTCTTTAATATATTATCATGCAATATGTCAGATATATATGTATGTTGATGTGTGTGCTGACTATCAGGTAGTGTGTGTTACAGCAGTCGTCTTGTTGCTCTTAACCTCGCTGCACTGCAATAAAGGATTCCATGAATAAAAAGGAGCGAGAGACATAGAGAGACAAAGAGAGGAACACAGAGAGAGAGAGAGAGAAAAGTCCAAAAAGCCTTAGGCCAAATGATCATCAGTGGCTTTTTAACCTCTGCACACACGCACACATACAAAGATGTGTATATATGGACACACACACAGTTTATAATACATACACATGCACTGAGTCAGAAATCAGCACTCTCTCTCTCTCCCTCTCTCTCTCTCTCTCTCTCTCATTTTGTGTGCGTTTTCCGCCTTGCCATCTTTATAAATGACGCTGCGTGTTGTGACGTTTTTATTTGTCTGTAGTGGCCTGCAGAGAGAGGAGACAGGGATGTGTTGAGTCACAGAGGTCTAACCAGAAACAGAACCAGAGTTTTATTAATAGAGACAGAAAGCGGTGAAACAAAGACATATCCGTTACTTAAAGCTGCATTCATCTGGATTTTTTAGCCACTAGAGGGCAGAAACACACATAAAACAGCCAATATAACCCCAACAGATAGCACCGGATTACCAAATGGTAATATATTGGTCTCAGTGTTGGATGATGTGACCCAGCCTGTGGGTCGAATCTCTCCGGTGGGTCCCAGGATAAATTTGCACCATAAAGTTTGCACCAGATATGTATGAGTTCTGTCCTCGGTTAGGGTGTAAAGTCGACACTAGACGCTCAGATAACTACCAGTCAGTTTGTTACTAATACTGGTTGCACCACGATTACTTCGGGCACAACATAACTAGTTTGGTGCTTTAGTACTAGACAAGAAGGAACTGTATATGTTAAAAATCTAGAATATAAGCAGATTTATCCCTTATCTCAGAACTGATCATACTTCAATCCTTAAGCTGAGTGTGGCAAATATAAAGTTTATTTTAAACAGGTTCATATTTCTTCTGTTGTATAAGTTTCTCATCTGCTCCTGTTCTTGTTGAATTGAGTTTTATTGATAAATTGAACATAATGTACATTTCCACAGGACTAACTTCATCAATACAACAACAGTTGTGTCTCACTCGCCACTCTGCTGCTCTCTCTTCTAAACACAAATGACTGTGTTCGTTCTCTAATTAACTCCAACTGTATTTCTGTTCTGTGTTTAGCTGCTGTCAATATTCTTCTGCATAGGTGTTTCACATTAAAAGGCATAACCCAGGCTTTTATTGTGAAATAGATACAGGAAGTGTTGAGGTTTATTGACAGTACCTTAACACTGCACAAAATGATGGCAAAGTAGAAGTAATTCTAATTAATTAGGGAGTAAGAACAATAGTGGTATGGTATTATTTAAGAACGTTACATTCGGTTGATGTCCAGAAAATGTGGTCAGACGTCAGCCAGTCTCTACAGTAACTGTGTAACCCCGTAGATCTCAGTGTTGGGTCAGCTGGCTCAGTTCATCTCCGTGGACCAGATCGCCGCCATGCGGGTACTGAGGACGTTCAGGGCTCTCCGTCCTCTCCGGGCCGCGTCCCGCTTCGCTGGTATCAGGGTAAGACCCAGCTGAACTCACCTGGAGCTCCGCCCAACCGACCAACTCGGGACCTCAAAGAAAAAAATCAAGCGCTCGTGTGTGGGAGGGGCTTACCTGGCTGGCTTTAGAGGGCTTTAGGGATGCATGTGGTTTCTGTCATCCTGGCTTTGATCAGACGTGATATCTCAGACTGTGTTATGGATACAATATTTTACAGTTAACCACCACTGGTATAAAGTTATATAACCAACATTCATCACTGGACAACATAGAAAACAAGTTATTCTGTCATGGAAACAACTGGAAAAATAACCAGACATTCTTGAACGTTGTCCTGAAACATTTGAATCGTACTTTATTTCCTCACTCAGGGTCCTTTTTCTGCTCCACTCTCATGTCAGTCAAGAGTTGTTCAAACAACCTGCAGCAAACTTTTGCAGAGCAGTGGTTCCCGACCTTTTTCCTCCAAGAACCCCTTTTTCCATCCGTCAATAAACTGACTCAGTGACATATTTTATGGATTTTTCAAATTATATTCAAAACTGTACAATGAACCCAAACAATAGTCAGTAACTGCAGGAAGTTTTGTAAAATTAGTGATTTTCCCTTTCTGACACCTTCTAGTAGACAATTTACTTTACAATTACTTTTCTTCACAAAAGGGAACCAAATGCTGAGATCTATATCCATAGTTTAAGTTTTCTATCACACCTTAAAGTCCTCGTAGACCCCCATGACGCTTTGGCGACCCCTAGTGGTCGGGGACCACTGCATGCATACAGTCTATTATTAATTATCAGATTTATCTGTCTACCTCTTCTTCTAACCAGCTTTTAGTAGGTGAGAAGAGGAATTTTCTCTAAGATAAAATAAATTCTACTTAATTCGAACTGGTATTTATGGGCTAAATGAATGTTACAGTTGGAGGAGAACTGTAGTCAGTTTGCAGGAGAGTGCGACAGCAAAAGGGCCATGAATGCGAGCTGACGTGTAGTTTCCCATAAATGCTGACCACCTGCAGTCCTGTATTGTCAAAAAAAACTCCTGGAAAGTATCCTGGAAAATGATTTCTTAAAACGAGTGGGAACTCTTTCACTTTTTCCTGTGACGTGTCTCACATAATCCTGTCATGGTGGAGAAAAATCGGTGCAAACATTTCCTAAAAAGCACCTAAAGTTCTTTAATCAACAGAATCAAGTATCACAATACAGTCTGTTGTCTTACGTCTTTAAAAAGCCACCATGACACCTTTTCTTACAGACTAATCAGTAATGATCTGTTTCTTTTCCACAGTTTGAAAATCGGAATAACTCAATCCAAAGAATGCTTCTGAACATTTAAACCTTTTTTTAGGTTAAAGCTGTCTCAGAAATAAAAGGTGTTTTTAAAAAGCAGCATCCCTTCGTTGATCACCTCAGTCTCACTGCTCAGAACCAACTAACTTCTGTCTAATCATCCATCTCTCCTTCCTCTCCTGCAGGAGTCTCTAACTTTGCCTCTCCACAGTTCTGATTGGCTGGTTTCACCTCCGTGGATCCGTCCTCTCCCACTCTGTCCTTTATTAGACTAGAAGTTAACTGTCCTGCTTCTCTCTTGTCTTTCTCTTCCTTCCTTTCTCACCCTCCCTCTGTCCTTGAATACCTGTCTCTACCTTTTTCTGTCCTTTCCCTCCCCTCTCTCTCTCTCTCCTCTCCAGGTCTCGTTGGTCAGTTTGGTGGCCAACACATTGGGTTATTCAGACTTTGCAGCCATCAAGTCCCTGCGGACGCTGCGAGCCCTGCGGCCCCTCAGAGCCCTCTCCAGATTTGAAGGCATGAGGGTAAGAGTCAGTATTAACACAACAAACAAGCCTGGAACCTGGATTCAATATCAGCTGCACTGCTGGGGAGCGCTTGGTTTATACCTTCAAATATCACAGGATGTCCTCTGTACTCGCATTATGTGCATAGTGCATGTCCTGCACTGTAAAACGTAGAATTAATATATTATACATGGAGTTTTTAACTGGTTATGAAACATCAATTTATTGCTGATGCCTCTGTATGACCGACATAAACAAACAACACCATCAGCAAGAAGACTTCTTTATAGTTATTATTAATGGCTGCCACCATTATTATCATTAACCTAATGTGGGTTTTAATGATTTCAATTCAAACCAACGTCTTCAATGTGTAGTTTTTACACTTGGACTGATGAAATTATTAGCATATTAGACGACTTCCCAGAATGCATGGCATGGTTGGTTCTCTTATTATAATTTGAAAAAAATTTACATTAATACGTCAAAGTTGTTTCCTTTGATAATAACTAAATCTGCTGACCATAATGAGGGTTAGTATCAACTTCTACAGTTAATTTAACAATGTTTGGTCCTTTTTATAGAAGTGTTGTTGTCAAACAAGGACTCAAGACTTTTAAATGCTATTAAATTCAATAACTTCTTGATGTTTTGTGCGAGGAGTCATTCTGTCCGAGGAGGTGGTAAAAAGATGATATATTCATTATTGTTTTTATCAGGCGGCAACTTCAGTGGCTGTAAATAAAGTAACAAACCCTGCAGTTCATCTAATGGCCACTAGAGGCTGGCTCCA